AGAAGAAGTGAGATATTGTTTGTCTTTCAAAGATTAAACTTGAGAGATTATTAACTAAAAGGGTAGATGGAGGATGATTTAAAATTTTCCAAGCCCTTTTTGGTTTAATGAAAACGAGTGAATTTATTTAATAAAATCTCTGACCTGAACTGTCACGTTTTGGGGAGCAAATATGAGGTTAACCTTGAAAGAAAATAACCCTGAAGAACACAGATAGATCAGGCTTAGAACTCATCTGTTTTAAAATAGCAGAAGGAAAGTGCTGCCATACATAGAAAGATATACAAATGGAGTATTGAATAGAAAATGGAACAGTAAGTAAACCAGTGAAACTAAATAATCTGTATGCAATGAGGGGAGACAACAATGAACGAAAATGAAAGAAGAGTGGGAGGAGGAAACTCCATCTCTTTCTCTGGGCTCCTCAGATAGCAGGGAAGAAAGATTGCTGCAGGAGCTCTCCGTTTCTCTCTTTCTCCTCTCCTTCCTCTCACTCTATATTCCTTTCTTCTTTCACTCGCTCACGTCCTTTTTAAATTTTTATTTCCAAGCCTGTGATGTATAGAGAGGTTATTCCCTGCGAAAAATGGACACCTGCTGCAGGCTGTGCAAGCCAGGCTCATCGACCGTTACCATTTTGCACATGTTTTACAAGCAGAGATGCTCTCATACAGGCTTCCATGAATCACGAATATTCAATTCCATGCATGAACCTGTATTTGTCAAAACATGCAGATATACAAGTATGGATTTCCTGTATAGAGTTAAGGTAATGTCATGTTGTAGAATTCTGTGTCTCTGTTTCCTTTTATTTATTTTTCCCCTTCTGCCTCTGTGTAAACATGAATTGTAACATCTACAGTAGCTGAGGTTTTCTCAGGGCAGAACTAAAACACCAGAAAAAATGTAATCTGCTGTTCATTAACATTCAGCTGGATTATGAATATACATCATGGCCTGACATTTCTGTATCAGCAGAGGCTTCAGTAGACCAGCCAAGTTCAGCATGTCGGTCTTTGGAAATCTGCCTGTGGACTAATATAAATGCAGGCTCTCACCTCTGTGCTGCTACTCAATTCCCTGCAGGAAACAAACATGTTTCATGTAAATTAAGGTGGAAGTCACACCAACAGTCACAAAGTTAGGAAACGAATGGGGCTCTTAAGTCAAGTTTTCTTTTTCTTTTTTTTCTGCTTTTAATTTAAGTCAAGTTTTCTAACATGTTTGTCTCTCTTTTGGGCCGTCGAAATCAGTCTGGTACGGTATTTTTCTACCATGTTATAACTACAAAACTAAAAAAGCTGCAAAGGCATTTTAGTCATCCTAAAGCAGTGTGTATTTATGAAGACTAAAAAAACATGATTTTTCTCCCCCCTCCTTTAAAGAACCCGATTTAATGGCAATTGCAGATGAAATGTTTGCCCAGTTTTTGCTAAATACTGTAGGCAAAGCCAGACTGGATTGAAAAATGTTGTTTGGGGCAACCTTGAAGTATAGCCAGAGGCTTGCTGTTAGATTTTGGTTAAACTTTGACCTGGGCCATAATAGAAAATTAGCATACTTTAATCTAAACTCGGACTGAAACAATTAATCGAATCAATCGTGATGAATCGAGTACTGAAATAATTATCAACTAATCTAATAATCATACTGTTAACTGGAGTATAGAGACTCTAAGATGTGTCTTTAGCTGACAGAGCAACCCAATTAGAGCAGTAATTATGTCAAAATATATAAAAATTTTGGATTTAGGATAAAATAAACATTTTTCCTCCTGTCAATAGCCTCTATTCAGAACACCTCAAGTGGAAGAGTTCATTTTCACTCAGTTTAATTTCATTAAAAAAAATCTTCTTTAAGGAACCTTTGGCTCTCTGATTGTTAATCAATTAATCAAAAAATTATTCAACAGACTAATCGATTTGCAAAATAATCGTTAGTTGCAGCCCTAATCTAAACCGTGCCATTGTAGTTCTATGTATGTTTAGGCTACTTGTTCTGCTGGAAGGAACCTCTGCTGCTATATTTTGGGTAAACTGGCTATTGATCGAACTACATTCTGTTTAGGGCCATTAGAGTAGAGAGTAGAGAGTCTGTGTGTGTGAGGGGAGTATTGAAAAAATTAACACTTTCCAACAGAAACATTTTTATTCTATTTTCTATTACGCTTTCCTTATTGTTGGCATATCACATAAAAACTTAAAGCTTTGCTTTCCTTCGATTTACAGTGAAAATGTAACTCACTGAAATAAGAACTAATAAAATGGATTACTGGTTCATGTTTGCTTTCGTTGGCTCATGAGACCGTATCTAGTGTTAACACTGTTTATTGTTTTGGGGGAACAAAATGAGTGCTGAAACGTTCATTATTCCTGTTTTATCATTCTGATAAATCCAGAGCGGTTTAAAGTTTGATTACTTCTCAAAAAAAAACAAAAAACAAATTATGTCTGGCTATATAAGATATAACTTTATGGTTTTGGTTTCCCCCTCCTACATTTTCTCCTTAGTAAGGCATTTTGTGTTTTGCTCCTCTAAAACAGCAGGGTGTGGATCTTTGTGCTCTAAACAAGCGTCTCATTAGTTCCACTACATTCGCCTTAAAATGTTACTCTTTTCCTCAACTATTAATTTCTGTTTCTTGCCCTCTCTTTCTCTCCCTCTTTCTCTCCCTCTCTCTTTTTGCCAAAAGCTATGATTTTTTAACTAGTGTTCTGAATTTCTGCTCAGTTTATTTTCACAGGACGAGAAATTAGATGAAAAGTCATGTGATCGCAAGTTAATTAAAGTATTTTAATTGCATGTCAACTGCATAGGCAAAAACTAAACCTAATTAGAATGCGCTCCTTGTGTGCATGTTTACATTTTGTGGAAGCCTGAATCAACTGATTGATAATTAAATTAATATTGGAGCATATTATTTTGAGAGGAATAATGCTTTTGGATTAGAATCTGAATTATCTACTTGAATATTTGCTTTTAACCACACGACTGAGGTTCAGCTCTGTAATTGGGCAGCTTGTCAGTTGGTTGTTTAGTTGACCCCGCCAGTGTGAACAAATGGGTAATTAGCATTGAGAGTAAAAAAAAAAAAAAAAACCAGAGAAGCCACGGAGTAACACACCATTCAGGTTCTGACCTTTGCAGTTTATTTTATTTTAACACATATGAGAAAGGAAAGGACTTCTTTTAAGGTCGGACTAATGGAAGGGATGGACAAAGAATAGAAAAGTATAGTTTGCTAAAGGCAGGTTTTTTAACCAACATCTATGTTACTCCTTCAGTTTATTAAACTGCAGCAATCCTTGAAGCAACACAAACCAGAGATATTCCTGCCCCAATCAGCTTCTCTGTTTTATAAGTGCTTTATTTCTTTTTTTTTTTTTTTATTAAAACCCAAATTCCTCTTTGGATGAATTGGCCCTTTTTTAATCTGAGTACACACCTTTAGATCTGATTGGCTGAAAGTGCCTACACTTTACAAAAACCTTAAACCTCATTATCCATCATTTGGTAAAGTGTATTCTATACACCAAAAGCACATAGTTGTTGTAATGATATTTATATAAATGCTATGCCTCAGTAAACTGTTACCAATCTGAGCATGCAGTGAGACTGGTCTGCTGTGCTCCGATCTCACACACACGTGCAATGCATGTCTGGTGCACACTCGACCCTGACAAACTGTTCACGGCCAGCTGTGCTCGCACACAAATCCGTCTTTATGCTCGCGTAGCTAGGTGCCTGTGCCAGCGCTACACTTGCTTTCAGTGTTTTATTTATTTCAGTTTAAAATAAAGACGCGCAAAGCTTTCTTTAATATCTCCCAAAGGAATCCCCATATTATACCCAGAATAATTGTTTCTTTATAATAATTGAACTTTATTGATCTTGCATTGGAGAAATTTGCCACTGCAATAAACCCATCCCCTTGAGGAGCAGTGGGCTGTCATCGTGGGGCGCCAAGGGGGGCAGTGTGGGGTTAAGGGTCTTGCTGAGAAACCCAGAGTGGCATTCTGTTGGAGTGGGGCTCTAAATCAGAACCTCATTTCATTATTTTACTGTAGATTTGGATAAAGACCCAGATGATAAGTCACATAGACCTTTGAATATTATAATATTATTGTTTTTTTCTATTTCCATCTATCCAGTTAGGATGTAAATCTTTGGAATCTCATGAAAAAGTTATTTTGTTTTCCTGGCACTGGTTGAAAAAGGAGCCTCCCACAATTAACCAATGCACTTCAATAGTCAATGATATTCAGAGTATGAAATGGCTTGAAAGTTGAACCTGCGACTTCAAAAAGAACAAAGTTATGCTCTTTGGTAAAAATGGTATTTAAATGTTGCAGAAAGCGGGAACATTTGATATTTAGAACATTGATATTGTTTGTCGATCTGACTTGCCCCTTTGTAAAGCCTATTTTCCTTTCTCTTAATTTATCATTTCTTGAATCATCTTTCTTTGTTATTGTATTTTTCTAAAACGTTAAACTCTTTCTTGCAATAAAAGCAAAGTATGTAAAAAAAGAAAATTTTATGTGAAAAATATATTTTACTATAGTCGATACTTGCTACCTGGAACGCAGTGAAAGCTGGATCAACACATTTTTTAGAAGGTTATAGAAAAAGCTTAAACACTAAACATCTGGGTGAAGTAGCTAATCATGCAGAATAAATTATTTTATATATAAAACATGTTGGATTTTTTTTTGTGCACAAAACACTTTTCGTCTGCTTCTGTTTAAAACCTTTTTTCCCTGACCAAGCGTCAGGATTCGCCGACTCGTAGAAGCAGCTCTGCAGGGGAGGTCTCAGGTGGACAGCACTGTTGATTGGGGCCAATTAGATTTGCATTTCCAATTAAACACAAAATGTCTTCTATTCATTAGAGACAGAGAGAGATAACCTAAAGTATAAGAATATGAAGATAACTGATCTGCTTTCAGAAAGAAAAGATGAATTATGTTGAATTTTCTGTCTTTGTTTTTTTTCAATAGGTTATACTACCCTGATCCACATCCTGTACATGGAATCCAGCTGATGAGAGTTGGAAAGCTGCAGCATTACCTGGAGCACACTCAGGAGGCTTTAGACACATTTAAAGAGGTAATAAAAAGAAAGAGTCCTGATGGTACAGAATTAATCCATTCTGCTCTTTTTTTGGAGTTTTTTATTACTTGTACCTTTTATTACAGACAAGTCAAATCATTAGAAAATCCAAATCCAAACATTATGCACTAAAGAATTTATCTTTGAGTTTCTTTTAAAATTATAGTATTTTTTTTTTTTTGTAGAAATGCATTTACTCCATATTAAATATAAAAATCATTATACCTTTTTTTTTCACCAGGCCTTTAAAATAATGAGGATCACTCATGGTGATGATCACCCCCTGACCACCGACCTGAACATGAGGATGGAGGAATGTCATCATGAGATCAAGAAGCAGTTGTCTGGCAGACATTAAGACAGACCAAGGACTAATCACAATATAATCCATTATCTGTAACACAGATGGCAGATAAGGAAAGTCTTTCTTTTGAACACTGACCAATTTTTACCTTCCACGGTTACAGTCTCAAGCCTGAAACTACAAATGTCTGTTTAAACTGCATTCAGTTGTTTTAAAATTTGGAACTATTAGATCAACTTTCAGATGCTCTGGTTTACTGCTGTAATTGCTTTAAATGTTGTTTTTACAGAGTCATGTGAGCTCTTTATTACCTCTTCATTAAAAACTTTCTGGTATGAATGGCTTCTGAGTTTATTTCACCAGGATAAAATAGAACCAATCAAAGGTGTGACAGTAATCATAAAATCCTTTGAGAACTTCACACACAGTCAGACCTGATCATCCTTTTTAAGGGAATACACTGTAAGCCCATCGGATAACATCCAAAAAATAAAGAACACTCTCTAGGAACACAAATATCATTGAACCAAATGTGTCTGTTCTGACAAAAAGATTAAATCTGCATCCAAAGAAGCCTTTTCACATCCGTTGCCCAAGGTCCGCTTGCAGATCTGCAGCCATCTGTCTCTGTTTTACTGTCACTAGCAGCAAATGCCTGGAAGACTTTCTCTCTGGAGCCACATGACTTCAGCAATGAGCTTTTTTGGGAAACGGCAACAATCTGCAGGTTGATTCCTGAAGGTCAAGAAGGGGCCAGATTTCTTCATTAAAGACCACCATCTGTGGAAAGTAATCAGACAAGGAAAGTTTCCAGCTCATGGGCCAGAAGAGGGATCCTATTCATCCAAATTCTGGTAACCAGAAAGTTGAAATTAGCAGAAAGTGACCGATGATGAATAGTATTTGATTACTTTGAATGCTTGAGATCTATCTTTGAATTACTGAATATTTCTTTATAGAAGTAGTGCTTTTTTTTAACCCAGCACAGCTTACTTCCTCTGTCGTCTTCAGATTTAAATAACTCATTTTTGTAAAGATCTTTTGGTGAAGCTTCCAAATGATATAGAGCACATGGTCTTGCATGCCACAGGTTTCCCTCACTTATCGGCCATCTTATAACAAAATCTTTTATTTAATTAATTGATGCAATCTTTTTTAAAAAGCATTCAAACGACTCCTTTTGTCTTTGATTTTTTTTTTTTACATTTAGTTGGTATGTAATAATGATTCCTAATTGATTTTAACAATTGTTAAAACCTAAATAAACATGATTGTACTTTCTCCTCCTTTTTGACTGTGCATATTAAAAAACAGTATTTACAGAATACTCACATTAGACACTGATTATATTAAGAGGCTCTAATTTCCAAATGGTGTCCTGAGAAATTTGGTTCAAACTGCCCTCAGATACTTCATGTGTCATGATCTTGGCACCATAGGCTGAGTTTTACTCTTTCTCCTCTATCTGCTTTGCTCCTCCCCGGCCTAATTATCTCTTATCAGATCCATCTGTTTGTTCTGCTATTTATGCCACCGCTTCCCAGCCCATGGTGCCGGATTATTTGAGCTTTCAGCAAGTCTAATTCTAGTGTTTTCTGTGTGTGTTTGTTCTGCCTCATCTTGACCCGTTTCTGCCCCCGGGCTTTTGAGTTTTGGCCGCCCCTGTTCTGCTCTGTTTTGCCTGTTCTGTGTTTCTGGATTTACATGGAATTCACCTGTTGCAGACCCTGGACCTGTCTTCTGACCACAGCTTGGATTATCCCTTCTGTATCCTTTGTTGCTTCTGTGTGCTCTAGCTGCTGCTGCTCCTCTTTCCTCCTGGCTCTCAGTCGCTGGCTCAGTTACAAGCTGCGGGTTCCTGCTCCTCTGGACTTCCCTCCTTCTGCGCACAGACTGAATTTTGCCAGGTTGGTGACTTTCAAGCTCATTGTAGTTTCTCGTTGGAGTTTCAGAAGTCATTGATCTGTGCCTACATTCCTGCAGCGTATCCAGAGATCCTGCCCCAGCTGATGAGCGACCGCACGCAGCTTTGTAATGAACGCTTTTGAAGTTATCACTGTCTGTCTCGTCTCAATTCTGGGTCCAATCATCTGAGCCTTTATGACATCATGTGATTTGCTAATAATTATACCACCATCAGTGGTTGTAATCAACTTGCCTAAATAGTTGAGAGAATTGTAGAACTATGCCAGAAAAGGAACAGAAAAATAATTAGTTGTTTGCTATCTTAAAAAAAGCATAAGAATATGGAAATTAGCTTCTAACCCCATATTGAACTCACTTAACTGAACCCAAATCCCATGATTCTTTGCGAGGAGAGCTCTTGCAAAGGATTCTGATATATATCTGCTTGTCTACTGACCATCTAAAACTGTCACACTGGAGCTGGTTTGACAGGACCCAAATGCAGACTAAAGCTGAAGGAGATTTCTTGAAGTTCAATTAACCAAAGGTTCAACAGAAGCAACAATCCAAAACTTAAATCCACAAAAATACTGAAGGCCAGGAATACTCAAAACAAGGGGGGCAAAGAAATGATGACAAACTAGCAAAGAGTGACTGAACAGGAGGAGAATAAATGGGAGAGACAAAGACCAGGCTAATTAGCAGATTGGGAGCAGGTGTGAACAGAGGGGAGAAGGGAGCTAGGGAAAAGGACACTGTCACAAGAGGGCAAACTGGAAATATCTAAGAACTCAAATACAATCAAAAATACCTAGAAAACAAGAATAAAAAATAAGACCAATGAAAAGTCAGAGATAAAACTTGAACAAAACCAAAACCATGACAATAGCTGTGTCCTGCAAAGGCCAGATTCGTCTGCCGACTACTTCATAGCACTGAACCGTGTACTCTTCAGATAGGAAGACTTCTGGTTATGTGGCTGACAAATGCAGCCTTCTTTTTACCGTTTTTCAAGGATGGTCTGGCATGTCCTCCGTGGCCTGGGGTATCCCTTGATTCATTGTGAGTCCAACCAAGCCGGCTACTCCTTGTTCAGAGGAAAATGGGAAATGTCACAGAACAGTGGTGAATATGGTAAGTTCAGTTTAATAATATAAATGTATGTAAATAATTTTATCTGAAATTAATGAAAATAGTGAGTAATTTTTGGTTTATGGAAAGATTTAATATTTCCCTGTACCTATGGGTTTGACTGACATTTAAGCACAGATTCCAATATCTGTGCAGTTTGGGGACTATAAATCAAATTTTATTCTATAGCTGAACTCTTCCAGCCTCCTTTTTTTAATGGCCCATTTCAGGTAGACCGGGTCCTTCGAAGGACGCAGACTCTGAAACTGAACACATCCAATGTACACTACTTTTCTAATTTTGAATGCTCTACTTTATCCAATAGACTTTTGGACACCCCTACAAAATGGCATACTGTAACCTCTATATAGTGCATTATATAAGGGTTAGGCTACACATTCAGACATAGCCAGAGATGACAGGATTCACCATGGCAACGTTAATAAATGCTTCTTACAGATCAATTTGTGGCCACACCTCAAGGGCATAGAACAGAGGTCACGGATTAGCAGACCGCGGTCTGGATCCAGACCCAACTGTGGACCAATCTGTACCCAACCTGATTTAAAACATTTATAAATTACCACATGTTGTCCCACGACAGTGTCTAACTTAACTTGCACCTCTTCTCCTGTTAAAATGGTAAAGCCATCTGGAGCGACCGGGACCAGGCTGTACTTGATACAAATAAGCCAATGAGAGTTGTCAGTCTGGGTCTGTGCTGCGAGCCACCTTTAGACACAGCAGACGAACCTTTGGCAGGGTGGCCGATGGTAAAGAAGGAGAAGACGATGAGAAAAAGAGAGCAGAGAAAGTGTGGACTGCTGGAAGAACAACAGTGAACTGGTCAAAGAAAATAGAAATGGTGTGCTCAAAGATGATCCTGCATATTTTAAGTATGTTTGGCTCAACTTGCTGCTGTGAAGCAGGATTCTCCACCATGAACATAATCTAAAATAAATATCGATCCAGGCTCAAAATGAGCACCCTGATAAGTGCTTGAGAATTGGCTTTGTCGCCATTCAAACCCAGTTTTAAAAGCCTGCAGGGCAGCCTAGAGCAAACTGCTCTAAATAGGCAATAAAAAAGAAAGAAAAATAACAAACGGGCAGTTCAAATGCTTTATAAAATATGTGAATCAGGAAATTGTGTATATACCAAACTGAACAATTGTTGTTCTCTACTTCAAAAAACACTTTAGATTTTAAGATGGAAAAATGTTTTTTTTTTTGTTTTGTTTTTTATTTAAAAATTAAATGTCTAACATGGATGCATAAAAACCCTTATTTTTGATTGTGTTAAATTCTGTTTAAAGTTACAGATTATAAATACAGTATAAATGTCTCTGAACCTTTACTGGTTGTTGATTTTTTTTTTTATCTGTTCCCCCTGGCATAGAAGATAAGTGGAAAAGGTGGGCCAAGTCCTTCAAAGGCGTTCCTGTGCCTTGAGGGTGTGGCCACAAAGTGAACTCTTAAAGGGACACAGTTAATTGGCATTTTCCAAATTAAAGATTTTGGCGCAAGAATATAGGATACATATTTACTGTCGGATTTAGATATAACATATAGATTTAGATAAAATTTTAATATTTACAAATAAATATAACATTCATATATAGATTTAGGATGAAGAAATATTTTTAATAAATAAATATAAGTTTATAAGTTGAGTTTTAGATTTAACATTTAGATTGTATATTAATGTGAGAGAACTATATATTTAAAGAAAGGTTGATAAACAATAAAAATGTGACATACATCATAATTGTTTGTGTGAATTGAATATGTGTCTAGGTGCAACACAAAAGGATGTAATTATTGACATGATTCGCAAAAAAAATTCATGTGTGGCAGATTTTCTTTGCAATGCTAATTGATCATACTGTACATGTAAGAGTAACATGATCATTGTCATAAATTCATCGTATTTAGTGCTTTGGTGCTTAAAATCTGATGTCTTTATTGAGGCATATTTTAAGAAGAGATATTTTTATTTTTAAATATAACACATCTACTTGCTCCTATTTACCATCTCCTAACAGATATATCTACAGAATATTTGCACTCCAACCTTAAAAGGTTCCTCCAGAATAGGCCATGCCATTTCTAACACTTTCCTGTACAGAACTCAGCTCCATACTAGGAAACACTCAGGGTTACTCCAAAAGTAGTGCAAAGATACTAGTATCGGATGAGGCACCGATCCAGCACTAAAATGGTGGTATTGCTATCGTCGAGTACCAGCAAATAGGGCACCAATACCATTTTGAGAACCAAAACTTTATTCAACTATTGTCACCCATTCCAGGCAGGCAATAAAAAGTTCTACTGGATTCACTTTGTATTAGTCTTTTTCCTGCTTCACAAAAGTAGGCAGCAGCTTGACAAAGCCATGATGGCAATTATTTTACATCTAAGTAGTATACAGCTCTTCATATATACAGTACACACACATCAATTTTAAACAGATGGTATCTGTATGGTATTGGTATCGGCCAATGCTGCACAGCCAGGTAAATGGCATTGATACAACACTACTCCAAATTGTTACTGAGCAGGATTGTTTAATGTACCCCTTTTCCACTGGCCAAACAACCTGTTTAAACCCGGTAAAAATCGTCTTTTAGTGTCTGTGGGAACAGCTCCCTGACGTGTGTCTACCTGGGTAAAATGACTCGGCAAGCAACCCGAGTTATAATTGCTTTGGCTCTGATCGGCATTCTGTGGGAACACCAAAGCTGGGTTGACACATTAATTTATGTAATACTATTGAACGCAATGTATGGACGTCAACACACCACACCAGTCATGTCTGATCTAACAAGCCAAACAGCTCAGTTTACATTAAACATGGCCAGCGCTGGTACAAGGGATTCAGACAGATAAAAGAGTGAAACAATAAAGGACACTTATTATACCCTGGCTTCCTTACATGTTTTTCTCCATTGTTTACTTTCCTGATTTTTGTTGCACTGGTGACATCATCAACGCTAACCCACCGTGATGGTGTCACCAGACACGCAGCTGTGGAGAGATAGAAGCCACACTTGACAGCGGGGCATTAGACCCAGCTTTTCTTGCCAGTGGGAAGTTAGCCAATTGGTGATTGTTAGCAGGACGACCCATGTCTGAAAAACATGCGTTAAACCGGCATTTTCAGTGGGAAAAAGGCTACGGAGTAATTTGGAGCCATAAATCTACTCAGGCTAACAGCTTCTCAGCTTTCTGGAACTGAAAAGGAAGCGTGTGCAGGAATTTACCCCAGAACTAAGTCTGGATTGCCTTTGCCCCTGCTTTGTGAAATGGGGACCAGAAGTGATTTAAAATCAGCTGTTGTTCATCCACCATCCCTCAATGGGTCACAGTAACAATTCCAAGAGGCTTTAACCTGGATTTAAGAGCTTTTCTCAGCTAGATATAAATAAGTGACCTTGTTTGTTTGTGTGTTGGTTGTATGCGTATATTTAGCAAGGCAACAATTTCAAAACCTGCATCTCTTTCTACACTCGTCCATCACACGCACACCCACACACTTTGTTAGTGCAAGTTTCTGTGTCTGCTTGTCAGTGTGTGAGCTCAGTGGCCCAACTTTGCAAGAAATGCCTCCCATTCTAACCACTTTGGTTTGGGACATATGCAAACCGATGACTACAGTAGTCTACTTGGGTGTGTGTTCCAGTGAGTGTTACTCATTTTACACCTTTTGTGTTTTCTTTCTTTGATTTGATTTCCATTGCACACTGGTAAACAGGTCCCAAGAAGCTGGGAAAAAATCCTTCAGCTACCAGAGAAAAGATTTGCCTAAAGGTTCCTCTTACCCACCATCTTTTAGATCCACTTATCCTGGTGGGGTTGTAAGTGGAGGGCTGGCAGCGGCACATTCCTGCAGCAGTCGTTAGCCCAGATGCACAGTGTTGCAGCTGATTTAAAACTTGCATGGCAGAATGCTTCAGGTCAGATCTACACACAATGTTTATCTTGTACACGCAATTAAAGCTGTATCTGTCTTTTGCAATTAATTTATGAATCTGTCTGATTTCTTAACATAACAGTTAAATTATTTAATATTTAATTAGAGCTGACAGACATACCAGGATTTATGTTGATGTTGCAAAAAATGAAGAGTCGGCTAAATACATTCCTTTATTTACATCCCTCTATCTTTTTTCCCATCAAAAAGAAGAAGAGCCAGACCTTTTTTCATTGCAGCAGGTCTATATGGAGCCATACAATGTTGATATATGGGTACATCATAGAGAAAACCAGAATACTGTTATTTTGTTAGGTATGATCTGAAATGTTAGTAATATTCTGGGACCATTTTGAATTTGGTTGGGAAGGTATCAATAGCAGTTATTTAGATACACTTACAATTCTTACAACTTTGTAGATGAAAATATGTTTGTTTTTGGTAAATATGGTCCGACCTTGACTTTACAACAACATTCCTCTATAACAAGTTAAATATGCTATATTTCGGATATTCTGATAACACATTGGAGATTGCAAAGACTTCAGAGAAACATGTAGGGATTTGATTTTAAACCCGGCACATATTCACATGGATTTACATGTTTGCTTTAAACAGTGACACCAAACCATCAATTATGTTGAGTTATTGCTTGAGTTATAAAGCGTTAACAAAGTACACAGATTTAACAGCGAGTCAGAGGGGAATCCTCCCACCATAGCATCTTAACACTGAAAACATGTACAGAATTTTGTTTTAGGCTCCTGAAATATCCGATGCCGACAATGTCTGTAATGTGATTACAGGCATTTCTGTTCACACATATTGGTCCTATGACATTTTAAACCCTTCTTATCTCTAATTAATACCCTATATTTTTGTTTTTCTAATACTCATTTGTAGTCTGCCACCAACATTGGTTGAGGTTAAGCATTTCAGACTGAATAAAAGTAGACTTCCAGCTTTCACTCAAGAGTTTTAACAATTATATGCTTAGTGATTTGTTCATTTTTGTTTACTTTGATGTTGAGGTTCTGAAAAAATTCACAAAAGGACCAAAATAAACATGAAAAAAGCTGACATGCCATAGGTTGCAGATTAAAAAGGCAAACGTATATGAAGTGATTCAAAGTAATATCAATGTTTTATTGCCTTGTCTACAAATAAAACTGATATTTTTTGCTTATATGAATACCATCCTTTTTCCAAACTTTTAGTCCTTAACATATTTGCATCCATGAAAAACATTGTTTTTATATGTTCTTTTTGTTACATTAAAGAACTTTAGACTTTCTTCAGATAATGAAGAAATTGTGAGGGTATTTGGGCTGCCTCTGTTAAAGAAACACTGCAATTTAAGTTAATGACAACCCTACAAAGCTCTATTTTCTGAAAAAGCAGACTAGTAAATAAAACTTCCCTGACGTCCCTGTCTGTTTTAGAGAATGAAAAACATCTCTACTTGTTCATGTAAACATACAAGTACTGTTACAACTGTTAGCACCACTAACACCGTTAGCCCCTGATAAGGCCTCCTAACACTGTTAGGAGCTCACATACATATTTATCATAGCTAGCATGTTGCTGTCTTTAGGCACTGGAATAAAATATTCTCTAAAGACTCATGAGCTGTTAGTTTGTTGGTTGTTGAGGCTTACAAAGTTTTACTTCCATACATATACTGAAAGGTAAATTGAATTTCTTAATACTCATTTGAAAAGAACCAGTGCCAAGCAACCCCTAGGTGAGAGAAGATCTTACTTGATGTTGTTTATGACATATTCAGACTTTTTCAGCAATTACCCGCCAACATTTTAGTTAGTTTAGGAATACATGTTTTTAGAACATGCGTATGCAAAGAAACTAATTCCAAAAATGTAAAAAAAAAATAAAATAATAATAATCTACTGGACTTTGTTTCCTAAGTTTGAAGACGTTTCGCTTCCCACCCAGGAAGCTTTTTCAATTCAAAATGTCAGAATTCGTGCTGAGTTCAAGGCTTTATTGAGTGGAGCAAAAACAAAGCCTAATTTTGGCTTAGAAAACATGCAAATTGAACCGGCGAACATGTCCGCTACTTCGGAATGGTGGTCGTCTGGGTTTTTGGAATGACTGATCTGGATGACTGGTAATCTTCACCAGCAAAAAACCCCCAAATTGTTACGTGTAAAAAAAAAAAAAAAATCTGAAGTAATACAGTAAAACCTTTGAAAGCTGGAAATCTACACCTATTGAAAATTCCTCTATCATCTTTATTCTGCTGTGATAAACGGCATCAATATGTTTAAAATTATATCTACATACAGACTGAATTGTTTACAGTTAACAGAGCTTTAGGAAAAATCCTGTAACATTGAACCTCCCCCTCTCCAGAGAGACAACTGGACTCAATCAAATCAACAGCAACAGAAGAATATACAAAATAAAAAATGAGTTGCTATATGCCATGTTTAAACAGTATATAAATTCATATATGGCATGGACTTGGAAAAAGTATGTACAGACATTTTTGTTAAATGCATAGAAACTGCAAGATTATAAGGTGCAAATAAATAAAAGGCTTAATTAAGAGTTTTGCTCTTTGAGCTTAAAATAACTAAACTTTGATTCATGACAGTTGGATTGGTTTAGAATACTTTACCAGATAAAAAAAAGAAAAAAATAAACCTCATTAAATCAAATACATTAAAAAATAGTTGTGATGGGGTTGTCAAAAGTGTTTTGGTGTTGGGGTTGATTTAAAATCATGGCTTTTATCACATCTCTGCACTGTAGAAACACCATGGCTTTATCTCATCTAAAGGAGCATTACAAGGATCAAATGGCAGATACAGCTCTAACTAGATATTTGCATTGTGCATAATAAACATTTGCAAAATGAACACTTCCTGTTCAAGATCAGTCTGCATTGTTATAAACAACCCTTGGTAAATGCCAAATAAACAGAGCATTATTTCAAAGTCAGAAGTTTTTGGTGCCTTTTAACCTTAATGTTTATATTGTTGTTGGTATTCTTCCTCAGGATTTTTAGAGTGAGCTGGAGTTTTGGCCTTTTCCTTTTCAAACAAACGGTGTAACCAAGTCTGGTCTGTAGGCCACCTTTCTACTGATTTCTTTTTAAATTCCTATGTTCTTAAACAACGAAGCAGTTTGATTTTGTTTTAAAATCCATCTACAGGTTTTCTTCAAATGTAATCTTGTAGATAAAACTTTTGAGCAGCCTTCCAAGCCATAAAATCCATCTAGGCTTTGTCAAATATTTTACAAGTTTATTGATTTGTGTTTCTAAATGTGCTTACTTCGAAAACTTCAAAGAAAGCAATTAAAGTGCTCTTAAATGTTATATCTTCTATTATTACTGTAGAGCAAATTTACTTAAGGGAAATAACTTTTATAATCCGAGCTGACAAGAATATTTTGTCTTACTTTCCGTCAGAGAAAGAAGAAAAAAAATTTGCTTCTATGCAGTAGATGTAAATATCTATTTTCAGCTGTAATTTTTTTGAACTTTTGGCAGGTCTAATAAAACAATAAACCACCAATAGAAAATAAACCATGAGGTGCTTTCGAATAATCAGACCCATAGATTATTGTGGTGTTTTTGCTCCTCATGTGAGAGGAGTAAAAACACAGCAAACTGGTGGAGTTATGGGTTACGTTCAGGACAGCAACGCTGATGACTGTAGACTATAAGAGAGACGAAGCATATAAACAGAAAGCTTATGCTTTTCATGGGGAAACGGGCTCTTTCATCTATCTATATTTTTTTACAAACATTAAGATAATAAACATCTCAAGCACCATAGATAATATTAACATTTTTTTTTAACATTTCTATCCATATAAAATAAATGGAACCAGGAAGAGAGCTATGAATTTTAAGATGCTTTCTTCTGTGAGTTTTATAGATTCTTTACAATTATTGAACACAGTCCTAATGCCCTAATGTATACAAATTCTTATTTAATTAGTTGCTTTGATGTAAATTTTATCTTTCAATAGCATTCACTACACTAATAATATTTTCTCCTTGTAGTGCATCTTAAATATTTCTTTATTATCACACACAGCCTCTACATGGTCCCATTTACCTCGAATAAAAAAGGAAACCTTATTAAGAAAAAAAAAAACATATTCATGAATCATTCAGATTTTTTTTTTTAGAGTAAAGCACAACAGCACAAATACAAATAACGGTCAGTCACTCAGCAGGCAGCCAACCAGTCAGTGGATGCACTTAAAACTGGATCAGAGAGAGATCTTTTCACCTCCACTCCTGTGTGACTCACACACTTCTTTTCTTTGTTGAACATGAAAAAGCTATCACATCAGAATCGGAGGAACTGAACTAAAGGAATCCTCCAGAGTACAGCAGATAGAAACTCCAATTTGCACCGTTTGAGAGACAAAATCAGGCAGAAACATTAAAAACAGTTTCTCTCTCTCTGCACTTACACACTGTACCTGAATTCTCAGTATCCCTTAAGTTTTTGTTCCAGTAAAGTAGTTTCTCTCATTAACAAACCAATGACAATACACTAAAATGTTTTTTTTTTCTTTTTGAATTGATTTAGGAAACACAAACCCACAGAAAAAACATCATATTCAGAAATGACTGAGAATTTCCAAGGACATCAATTTGGATTTTTTCCTCCCATACTAGCACCGCACCCACTGAATGTACACAAAAATCAGAAAAGGTTGGTCTTTGTGGTGTTGGGAATGTTTTCAAGGCACTTATCTTAAATGTCTTCTTTTGTCTCTCAGGAAAACAATTCAGCATCTTTCTGTCATTAAAACTCATTTACAGCCCCTTTCTTCCTCATTTTCTTTGTCCTTTTTAAAAAGTGCCATTTTTGATGTACAGACTCTTTTTTTTCTGTACATTCTTAACTCGGTGTGCACCATGAAATTAGTTTTTTTAATGTTGTTTGCTTGGTGTAATCATTTGTTGTAGAAATGGTTCTCTCCCTTGAACATTTCCACCGAACCAGATAAATAGATGTTATCAGAATGCAACCGATGTTACGTTAAGAGCTTGGTCCTTGTTAGTTATCTCCGTTGAGCTCTTCATTCATTCATCTGATCTGTCCTTGAGTCTTCTTACATCCGGAGTAATGTATAAACCTCTTGCATGAATAACAGGTCCCTCTCTCTTTATGATCCTTGTTCCAAGTTTTCCATTATCCAGTATTAGAATAATGTTTTCTCAATGTGCTTCTCTTGTTGGCTTTTCAGCCTTTAATCCATCTACCGGTGCCTTGAGGAAACATCAAAGCAGGTAATCATCATAAGATGTGCTTTGCAAAAGTTAACTCTGGTCTCCAGTCTGTCTGTCACTGTTTCCAGAGCTTCCAAATACTCCATGGAGTCCAAGTCGTAGGGCTGCTGCAGCTCAACTGGAAACAAGAAAGATGGAGAAAAACTTATGTTGGGATTTGTTAAAATCTTGCTGCATTTAAGTAGGTGGTAACCTTTACATTTTTTTGTCACATTACAGCTGCAAACATGAATGGATTTTGTGTGCATATCACTAAAAAGAGCAAAATATATTCATATTCAAATAACCCCTTACCTCTTACACTCTAAAACCATATCCAGTGCCCCCCTATTACCTCCATAATTGACAGAATTAGTCCATGATAATTTATTTCTAACTAATTTAAGTTTTCTCAAGGCCTAAGACGTATTAATTAGAAAAAAATGAACAGAATACAAAAAAAAAGAAAGTATTTACTGTCATTATACTAATATACTATGATTAAAATGATGCTGCTTTGCGGTGTGGAGACAGAGTCAGTATTAACAAAAGTATCATAAACACCAAAAAACACAGCAGTCAACCCATTTTAACGAAAAAAGAAAACAAATTTGACTTGGTCAATTGTAAAAGTCCGATTTTTCCAGAAGCTGGCTCTCTGAGGGTCCTTTGCTCATGGTGACATCGCACGTTTAGCCAGTAATGTGGTCCTGGGTTTAAGCTGCTGAGCTCAGATTTTAAACTGGACGACCGCATGTCGTTTCTGCTGCATCAAGAACCATCTGTCGTTTCTGGAAGATTTATATCACCTGGGATATCAGATCACTTCCATCCAGAGGTAGGCTTCTGCATCAAAGCTCACCTTTAGTCCAAGAAGGTATAAAAAGCTCTGCTCCCCAAAGCCTCCCTTATAGTTAGGTTGATAATTTTTCTGATTATTTGACCTGATAATTTGCTGAATGTGTGCTTTCTTTTATCCTATTTATATATAAAAAAAACACATGCCTATTAAAATAAGCATATAGATCTTTAGATAATCTGTTAATATTCAATTCTTTGAGCCCTCTTGAGCAAGGAGAATGGAACTAGGCTTACCGCACCGTGGAATAAGGTGTTTCTATGTTTGGGCAAAAATGGCCTCTCAGTGATGGCTACGAAAATTATTAGTTTAATTTTCTTACTGATTAACACTAAATTCATTAAATCACCGCCAATGTATTTGTTTTAGCTATAGATAATGATCCACTGAGCATTCCATGCTGACCAGAATTTTTCTTTAAAGGTTGTTTATAGCAAAAAAAATAATTTAAACAACATTCCTGGAGCTCACACCAAGCTGCTAATCTATTCTAACCCAGTTCTTAGTGAAAACTGTAGATCAGTGAAAGAGCTGAGGTTAACAGCTGTGGTCTGTAGGAACCAGCCGACTGTGGTGCTATTCAGCCTAACCAACTTATGGACTAAAGCAGGGTGAGACAGCTGGATGCACTCTACAGGAATCCTCCACATCAGCTTAAACAGATTTGATCGATAACAGCTGTTCAGAGCAAAACTCTACAGGTTTGGGATATTTCAGGCCCCTAAACAGGTTTAAGTCAACCTCTTAGGTGTGAGGAAGTAGAGGGAGGGGTTAGCTTATGTGGTAAATTCAATGAGAAAAACAAATCTCATGGTGATGGCGCATCATGCTGTGTAGATATTTCTTAAGTTGATAAGAATCTGGCTATGCATGAATACAGAGAAAGATTTAATGATGATTTTAGAGAGGCTGGAAAAGACTCAAGGCAGCGACAGAGATGCACATTAAAAACATTCAGCAAGAGTTTAAGGCAACAAGCTGGTTTGCTATATTCTGAAGCAAAAATAATTTCTTTAAATGAAAAGGGGCAAGAGAAATACCCCAAAAGAGTCTGAACAGCACTGCTTTTACAAAATATCTACTCAGGAGTCTGAAGACATACTGTATGCGCATCTCAGCACTCGGTTTATTTCTGAAATTAATTCTGACAGTCGTGTTATATTTGCTTTCCACTTTACTGCTGCTTTGTTTGCAGTGCATACTTTTCACATGATAATTTGAAGTTTACATGTGTAAACATTAAATGTTAACATGTTATAAGCTGAAGAACTACTGGTGAAGATACAGAAATAAAAGCTACCAGAGCTGCTTTGCCTGCTGCACTCAGATAAATGCTTTATATTCTAATTGTTGGTTTTTCTTCCATTGGGTGAATAAATGAAAGTTAAGAAGCCGTGTAGACTCATAAAAATGAATTGACTTTAAACAACTCCAATACTAAATGAGGCTGATAAATTATTGGGTTAATTTCTGTCAAATGATCTCTTAAAAGCCTTCTCTAAGCAGCTGCTTACTGCTTATCTCCCACTCTCACACACACAGACATTCCCTAATGTGCTACACTTACACTCAGCTGTCCATTTGTGTGGCTCCAGCATCAAGTGCTGTTTGGTTTGCTCCAGTTCTTTCTTCAGACACTGGTACTTGGCTCTGACTTCACTGATTCGCTGCTGGCGGTGCTCCAACCCTCGCAGCTTGGCACTGACGAACACGCCCTCCTGACAGACGCAAACAGAGAAAGTGCCAGCAATGTGAAAGGGTTTTATTTACCTTTACATGTCCATAGGAGCGACTGTCGAAGCACATGTGGCTCTCATTCAGCAGCAGCATGCTTTAAATTCACACTTCTGCTCACATTCACCCCTCATCGATTCCCAGTTGGACCTCAGTTGGGGATCTGGGACACAGGGCCGCTTCGCTGGACCAGTTGGGGGTTAAGTGGCTTTCTTAAGGCAGCTGCAGAGAAAATCTATATTTCATGCAATTCTGTCCCTTCCTCTTCTCCAAAGCTCCTAACTTCCCCCCCCCTTGAATACACAGAAGCTTACTGTGACAATTGAAACTGAAAAACCTGCACTGTGCATATTTCTAGACTAATTTTCCATGTTGGAGTCTGTTCTGCTAATTCCCAAGAATGTATTACAATCGTTAGATGAAATGAAAACTCTTAGCAAGGGACAACTCCTCATTGCTGTACATGTTGTAAAAAAAAAAAAAAAAAAAAAAGGTTTATTTTTTATATTTAAGTGTGTTTTTGTTCTTTTAGAACATTTCCGTTAAGAAGCTGGCATTACTATTCGTCTTCAACAAGCAGTTGAAAAGCATCTCTGGCTTATTCTTAACTCGATATTAATCGTGTTGTTCTGTCCTCACTTGTAAGTCACCTTGGATAAAAAGCATGTGCCAGATACGTAAACATATCTTTTTCTCTAAATTAATTTTACATCATGAAGAGGAGTAGAACTCCTGCTGTTCTTCCATTGTGCCTTATTTTACAATATTTAGATGTATTAATTCTTCTTCTCAAGAAAACCAAAAGCTTACCTTGCTTTGTCCTTTGTCTCTTCTCTTCTGCAGTCGCTCCACGTCATCGATCTCATACACTTTGATCTCAATCGTTTCTGTGGATGCAGCTACACCCCAGTGGTTAGAGGGTGTGGGAGGCCCCAGTGGGCCGTCCACCCAGCATGCACCTGGACTGGAGGAGGAGGAGGAGGAGGATGTAACGGCCTGTTTGGAGGAGCGCTGAGAAGGTGAAGAAGATGAGTCCAGGGTCAGAGCTGGGATCAGACGTCGCCGCTGGAGGCCTGAAAGAGGAGAAGAGGATCCGTGTTTTCAGGTGTAGAGAAATATGGTAACATAGAGAACTCTTACTCTGTTGTGCTGTCTTTAACAATTATTCATTTGAAATGTATATGATTTTATTTTCCATTATTTAACTGATCAAAAGCTAATCTAAATGTTTAAAAAAATTACAGAGTTAGTTTTTTCATTTGCTTCATTATTTACTGGAACTCTAAATCTAAAGGAACTGAAATGTATAATCTTAGATAAACATGGGGGTCTCGTTGACATGGAAACCAGTCTAAAATACACCAATCTGATAACTTTTTACGAAAAGTAAAAAGTATAACAGTTTGCCACAAAGGAAGCAGGGAACACAGTATGAAAAAAAGTTATTTGTGGTTGAAATTAACAGGTCCCATAATGCTTTTTCACTATTCCTACAGTCTCTGGTGCTGCTGGAGGTTTCTTCTTGTTAAAAGGGATTTTTTTCCCCCCTCCAATGTCGCTAAAAGCATGCTTGGTGTGAGGGATTGCCTTTGAGTCAATGAGTTTATGCAATCAACCGGTTTTCCTTAGATAGAAAACTTTTAATCGATTTGACTGAATGACATGGTTGAATTATAAAGTGCCTTGTGTTGTGAATTGGCGCTATATAAATAAACTGAATTGAATTGTATTTAACACGGTGGTGGCAGCATTCACTGTGGGTTAAATCTTCAGTCCGACTGGTAAGCAAAACTGGAAGAAAGAAGGCTGCAATAGGCCACAGGATTAATTCAATAATACACCCAGAGGGTGATTAGTTTTCAATACTTGTAAAAAAAAAAAAAAAAAGTTTGAAAATTATCATCATATACTTTCTATCTTATGTTCTAGATGTCAGACTATTTTGAATAGAAAAACAAGCGAAAAAAAACCCTCAATCTCTAGATGTGCAAAGCTGGAGGAGCCATCCTTTGTGAGACTAAACCTGTCATTGCTTTACCTGTAATAAGTTGTTCTACACTGAAAGTATAAAAACTTTTAAATGTATAATTTTCCTTAAATTTCAAAATTATGAACCTTTTTTATTTTTATATAAAATTCACATAAATAAAAGTTTATGGTTCTAAGCTGACAAAAATCTAAAGGGATTTGTATACCTTTTGGAGTTTCAAATAAACAATATGACCTAATAGATCAGTCTTTATTCTGCATTATACTGTAAACTATTAACTAGCATAGAAGTGGGCAGCCATGTTAAGATATTTGAAGCTTAGCAGAAGAAGTGTAAGATAAGATGTTTAAGTGTGAGGAAAGCATGTATTTTAATATGATTTTCAGCTTACTTTGGTCTCAGTGCTGCACAGAGAGGTCAAGCAGAGACATTTGCATGAGTACTCTGATTCTGAGTGGTCAGACTGTCAAAGGCATTGATTAAAAAAGGAATCCAATCAAATGGAAATCAGGCACAAAGAAAGACTCAGCAGATGATTTAATGAACCTCATAGCTGGACATTGCTTTTTATATTTTACACAAAATTAATATTTTCTCCATCTGGGTAGTCCTTCTTGAGAGAGATTGAAAGTACATTGGCTCTTTGTCCCTGATAATTTGTTGGGGTTAAGGCAAAATAGAGATCACAATCCTCTGCATCAAAATCAAGATTGTCTGCATATAATTTGAAGGTGAGACCATACACACTGAGGATGAAAGCCTAATTCTAGTTTAGATCAATAATCAGTCTCACAGTAAACAAGACAGCCTCTTTTTAATCTGATTTCATGCACACATCCACCCTTATGCTAGAGCAGAAGAGAGTCATTTAGGAAGTGCATTAGTAAGCTCTTGTGTTATATTCTGGTGAATATATATTCATTACAGCCAACAACGGCACATTCTCTTTTACCATTTCACAGATGGCTGATCAGGGTCACCTTTCCTACCTGGCTTCTCCTTCAAACACATCGCTCTGCCTTCTTTACTTCTCTGTTTGCTTTTTTTCCCCTGTTCTTCTTTCAATTAATTTCTGCCAACAATCTTTACTTTTTTAATCGTCTTTGACATCCTTCAACATTTTAGTAAAAACTGAAATCTAAAATTGCTTAAAAAACAAAAAAATAATGGAGATACACTAAAAATATGATTACCATTTTATTTGGAAGAGAGTTTCTGGTAATGTATTTCCTCCTCTTAGTTTCTAATTATATATTAATAAAAATTAACCACATACAAAGCCCTCCATAACACAAGTTGGAGGAATGGTCATGAGTTTTACTGAAGAAACAACACTAGTCTAAATTTATTTTGAACCATCTTAAATAGTTTTTTAATGTAGGTTGTGCATCAAAAATATGTCAAATTGTAACCTGTGTTGCTCCTGTTTTTCTTGCTGCTCTTAGAGCTCCGTCTGGAGGAAGTGGTGGCTGAGCTGTGTTCACTGAGGGAGTCTTGAGCTGAGGAGGTACTTCCTGTGTTCTCGCTACTGTCCCTTAGCATGCTCTCATAGCCACTGCTGCCTCCACTGTGGTAAAACAGAGCAGTTTTTCCCATGGCTGGGGGCAGCTCTCCACTAAGTACACTGCTGTAAGGGAGAGAAAAACACCAAGGTTAATTTAATAAATCATTAATGAAAAGCTTTGGGAACATTAAACCTATTTTGAGAAAACAAAGCTTCACTTGTCACCAATGTTCCCTCTAATTTTTGATGCATAAACATGTTATAGATCAGAACCAACTTCAATGAGGGTGTCAAATTATGGTTTTGTTTTGACGCAGCCCGTCCCCCTTACATCACATCCTGAACCGTACCCCAGCTGCATCTTTATTGAGAAAATTATTTTTGTCTCTCTTCCCACTGGACCTCAGACTGATGGAAGGAGAGACAATCTCAATCTCTGAAACCATGGTCCATTTTTGCTTGTGCAGCAAGGACTGCATCCCTCTTCGGATAAACTCAGAGCTGAAAACCCAGCATAACCTTGCTTGTTCTCCCCTCCAGGTGGAGGAGTCGATCAACCAAGATGGCACCCGATTGCTGTCCTGGCCAGGTGTCCTGTGTGCCCTTCTGCACTGTGAGCTGTTCTGACCTAAAGAGCACTGAGTAAGGGCTGGCGATAAACCAGATTTTTGCCGTTTACTATGTTAACCGTTGGAAATTTTCCCATGTCAGTAATATGCATAAATAAAAAAAAAAATAAATGTCACTAGAATAAGAACAAATATGAAGAACATTTGATCTATTTTTCACATCTGTCCTTTCTACTTCTCCAGTGGTATTTCAAATATGCCACTTTAAGATGATTTCTGGCTGCTGTTGATTGATTCATTAAACCAAATCCTATTTAACAATCAGCACTGGATGCTTGAAATGTAGCTCAGATATTCACAAGCTGTAAGATCTTTAGCTCCTTACATTTAAGTGCTGCAACCACCATGTCTGAGAACGTGCTGATTGACCCCTGTTTACGTTTTAACTTCATTATCTATTTGAATTTACATTGGGCATTGAGCTGCACGGTTAATAGGTGTGTCTTTAGCTGTGCGCCTGTTGGACAGCAGGTCTGTTGCCAACCGGTGAGTTTCATTGTTCTGGAGCCTAAATTGGTAAATAATACATAATCAATAATACATAATCTTATTCCTTTTGGGTTATTTATTTAGGAATCTGTAACACTTTTTGATGTGCTGAATAGGGACATTTGCTGAACTTTTTTTAAAGCACATTCCCATTCTATTACACATATTCATCAATTCTTAAATATATGTGTAAATATACAAGTACGCAAGCATGCAGCTTAGAAGAAACCTTGCCGTCACTACAGTTTACCTGTTGTCACTTGCATGGCCGCTGCTGCAACGGTGAGGTTTTCTTGGGGCTGTGATCTTGCTGTAAGGAGAGGGCAGTGTTTGGACCACAGCTGCCCTCTCCTCTCCCTGATTATCTCCATCTGCTCCACTTCCACTGAAAAACCAAAGCAATGAATAAAATACAAAACAAAGCATGAAATGATTAGCACTTGAAAAACATTTTTCTATCCAATCTGCATATTTGTTTTGGTCATAAAGATGTCAATATCTTTGCTTAAAGATGTGACATAACTTGATGTCTCACAATATATATATATATATATATTATGTTTTAACATGTGTAATGCATGTTTTTTCTGTACAACAGCCAGAACAAAAAAAACTTTGAAGGCAAATTCAATAAAATAAGTGTTTGACTTTATGATCTTCTTAAACTGGCTATGTAAAGTGCCTTTGCATGTCATGTGTTGTGTGTGGCACAATATAAACTAACTGTCTTAATCTGAAGGAAAAAGAACCTTGTTGCTCCAGATCCTCTTTCCTCTGTTCGATCGTTGCCTCCTCCCATAACAAGGCTTCTGGTACGGGATCCTGCACTTCCCTGGAGGATCTCTGAGATTCTGCTGTTAACAGCCCGCAAAGGCAGTTTGGCTGTCAGACTTCCCCCTCGGCTGCGACTCAGGGACTGGGTAGACCATGATCCAGGGGTGGATCCTTGCTGCTGCTGAACTTGAGTCTGGACTGAATTCTGGGGTTATTTGTTAATGAAAAAAGAAATTACATTATCAGCTAAACTGATCACATTCAGGTAAATAAAGAAGCTGTGTTTCATCCCACTCTGAAAACAGTTACCCTTTACCTTTCCATTGGGAGGAAGGCTGGAGCTGCGGCTGTTAGTCTGGGTTAATGACTTGGTGGAGAAGCTCAGTGTCTTGGTGCTGGATGCAGAAAGACTCCGAGATTTAGGACTGCTGGTCATTAGCAGCTTACTGACTGCTGAGATCTTTGACTGGCCACTGCCCTTAGCTGGTGATTGTGGAGCACTGTTTGGACTGCTACTGCCACTGAAAATGGGGCTGCCGGGGTTTCCGGTGGGAGATGATATTGAGCTGGTGCGGGTGATGCTGCGGCCAGTACGAGGCATGGTGGTGTCCCCCCTAACACCTCCCCCCCTGAGGCTCTCACCTCTCTCCAGGGAGAAGCAGTCATAATGGTGAGACCCACCTTGTGAACCATGGACCCGGCCAAGAGAGTTTGTTCGGTTGGCCAGCTGTTCTAACTTGGCACTAAAGAGTCTGCTACTGTCTATGCTGGAGCCACGTTGTCTAGTGTTCCCTGTACCATCTGCAATGATACTCAGCGATGACACTCCATGATTGGGTTGGGGGAGAGGACTGGTTGCTCTGTTTCGCTGGTCAAGGCTGGATTTCCGTATTGGTGGAAGAGGTGGGATTCCCCCCTTCTTGTGGGAGAAGAATCCTTGCCTTCCCTTGGATCCAGTACGTTCAAGTGTGGCTCGAGGACTGCAAGGTGTTGAATTGGTGACTCCAAAATTGCGGTACTCTGTTCCAGTTTCTAAGCCATCGTGGTGGTTGAGACGGTGCCAACCGCGGGGGAGACTGGCTGTGCGGTGGATGTCTTGGATGCAGCCATCACCTTGGACAGCCACAGAGATCATCTCACAACCATCCACGACTCTCTTGAATGAGTCTGTAAAGGACATCGCATCACCTCCTGAGCCACAACTACTTTGATCCCCACCTAAGACAGAGGTAGTTAATAAAATTAAAATGATAAATAAGAAAGAGTACAAGAATAAATAATGTTGCTTAAAATCAAAATCTACTTGTCTCTTACCATCCCTGCAGAAATCGTTGGCATGTATCTTTAAAGGTTCTACTTCCCTCTTTTCTGGTTTAACTTCACAGATAAGTTCTTTGGATCTCCCTTCCTCCATCCCACGTTTCAACCAGGGGTCTTCAAAGGTTATCTCACTGGAAATGGGGGCTAAAAGTTCAGTTTTAGATTTGCCTGGGTCTTTCATAAAGGCAGTCTTTTTTGGAGAGGATAGGATTGTTGGCTCATGTATGACCATGGGTCTGACAACCATGCAAGGGTGAACACTTATGGTAGACTTGAAAGAGGAGACATTTCCAGGACCAACTAATATCTGAATGTTAGTTTTTGCCATAGATGGTGGCAGTTTTCCCTGTTTGTCTCTGTTTGGGGGGGCCTTATCCAACTTCTCTGGCAGAACAAGGTCCCCTACCAGATCCTCTGTTCTTGGGCTTCCTCCACTCTCATAATCATTAAGAATTTCAACTCCGAAGCTTTGGCTGCCTTCAGACTCAGCCAGAGCCTCCCCTTGCTGACTTTGAGACTGGCTGAAGCTGTGCAAAGACTGATCCGCTTCACTGCACATGCTGAGATCGCTCATCCAGGAGGACATAGTTGAACCAGAGTTTGACATCCCACTGGCTAAAGTGTCACCGGTCCGCAACTTGGCCATTGCCACCTGCAACAGTTAGAAGCATTGTCAAGCATCCAGATATGCAACAGAAAGTAATGTATGCTTCAAATAAATGTGTGTCGTTAAGAAGGAGTCATATTTTTCTCTTTTGTTACAATTAAAACAATAAACAACTAAAAATGTTTCAAAGCACAAAATTTTTTTGTTGTTGTGGAATATTAAAAAATATTTTCAAGTCCCACCACAACTTCATAGCTGGATATGAATCTGGACTTTAACTGGCCTGTTCTAACAAAATGCTGTATCAGGAGTGCTGATGAAATTGAAAAAGATACATAATGTCTTATATTTTAGTTTCCCTTTATTGGCTTATTACTAGAGCAAAACTACCTAACTTTTGGTCAAAGTATTAGCTTGATTTCATTGTAGTTCAGGTTAATTAATAGCAATTGACGGGTGTCAAGGCTCCATGTGGGCTACTGTTCTCAAAACTGACCTTTGTGACTTGAAAAGTTAAGATCCATTGCTTTAGCTGCTTGTATCCAAGATCTTGTTCTTACAGTCTCGATCCAGATTTCATGGATATTCCTATCAAGCCAACCATGCTTGATAAGAATCCTTGATGCTACCTGACAGCATCCCTTACTGCCGGTGTTTACCACTAGGTTTGGGGATTTTCGCCACGACAGGCACTGCAGACCTTATAGCCATGACTATGGGCAGTGGCATCAACAATGGAGGCAGAGGACATGGCCCATGAACATGTATCCACCTTCCCGGGGGTGGGAGTTGAACACATCCCTGACTGAGGGTTCCACCAGATGTCCCCAGCAGACCCTCACTACTCGTTTGGGCCTGCCGAGTCTTTCAGGCTTCCTCCTCTTCCAGGGTATCTTGCTCACCACCAGGTGAGGGTTGGTGGAAAGCTCATCCCCTCCAACCCTCTCTTAACCTGACGAAGGTCAAAAGATACGGCTACAAAGTTAATCATCGACCTCTGGCCTAGGGTGTCCTGGTGCCAGGTGAATCGATGGACATGCTTATGCTCAAACATGGTGTTCATTATGGATAATCCATGAGTGGCAGAGAGAGTCAATAATGAAATACCAATCAGGTTCAGAGCTGGGGCCCGTTCCTCCTGATCACACCACTCCAGTTTTATGGTTTTCCTCTTTTGGAGTTTGAGTTTTAAGTTTTTATTATCTAAGTAAGTCTGTTTTGTTGATGTTTGGTTTATTTTCCATTTTGTGTTATATCTAAGAAGTCTTTCGTTACACTCTGTTGCCTCCTTGTGCCTGTCTCCTTTGCCCTAGATCCCTTCTAGTCACTTTCATCCACAACTGCTCCATATTAGCTAATGATTACCCCAGTCTTTAGTATTTTGTTTTTGGACTTTGCTTCTGTTGCCTTTGGGATTTTAATTAAACCTACAAGAACTAATCTCCGCCTCCCTAATCTCTGCATTTGGGTCCTCAACAAACCACCACCCTCACGGTGACATCCAGTCGTCACTGTCGTTTCCCACATGGGTGCTAAATTCTCCCAGTAGAATGATGGAATCCCTGCGAGGGGCGCTAAAAAACACCCTCCCCAAAGATGCTAAGAAGGCCTGGTATGAAACAATAAGAGACTACCTGAAGGCGAAGGGATGCGACTCTCTCATTCAACCTGGTAAACGCCAACACAAGAGGGCTGAGCTGGATAATGGAGAGGTCTACTCTGTCTCTCTGTGGGCCACTTCAGAGTAGAAGAGAGTATGATCTCTCTCGAGTCCCAGAGCCCTGGTTGTGTGTGAAGGCAAGCCAGACTAATTTTAGCTGATATCGCTCCACTTCCCACAAAAGCTCAGGCTGCTTCCCCCCAGCAAGGTAATACCACCAGGCGCTCACTGACGAAACCCAAACCCAGAACTGGCTCCGTGGTGGGGTCCGGACTCCACTGTACCAGGCAATGTTGCATGCCAAGATTTTTGTTAAGGTAGTGGTTCAATTAAGGGTTCATCTAGACCAGGCATCCCCAAACTCGGTCCTCGAGGGCCACTGTCCTGTAGGTTTTAGAGGTTTCCCTGCTTTAAAACAGCTGATTATAATGATTGCAGTAGAGCAGAAGCCTGTTAATTAGCTTTCAATTAAAATCAGCTGTGCTGGAGCAAGGAAACCTCTAAAACCTGCAGGACAGCGGCCCTCGAGGACCGAGTTTGGGGATGCCTGATCTAGAGGGTTAAATGTGGCCTTATCTTTACAAGTAACTTCATGATTTCTAAATCTGTATGACCAGGGAGACTGTTTAATCAAGAATAGTATTCCCTGTAGCCTTCAGGGGCGCTAAACCTGGAAGTTACAGGTCAACCCCCACAGTGGCTAAAGGTGACACAGAATTGCTTTAAATTAAGAATTGAATCTGCATTTCTTCTTCTCTCAAAAAAAGCCTTAAAAAAATCAAGCACCATCATACATCAGATAACTAATTTTCCCCACTTTTTCTAAGAAAACACCTTGCTATGAAAATAGTATTTTTTAATAGGTTTTAGAGTTTCCAAAAGTGAAATGGGAGGAAGATATTTTAGTTATCAGGCTCCTCTAATGTGGAACTAACTGGTTTTTATTCTTTAAGGCAGACACCATGTTAATTTCTAAGATTAGATTTTAACTTTGAACTACAACTACTTTGAAGGAAGTATCGATGTATACGTTGCATTCAACTTCAAAATTATGTGCTGGTGTATTATACAAATTCCTGATGACTTACACTGTAATCCATTCTAGTGTGATCAAATGTGGAATAAAAATAGTAGCACAGTGAATCTGCATCAGAACACATCTAAATATAGATACCAAAATGTGCCACCAACCTCTGCCATTGCAACCACTTCCGTAACTCCTGTGTTTGTTGTGAGACCTGAGGACAAGTGGTAATGTTCTATGTCTCCATCAAAAGCAGCATCACATCTGGGGTCATGGGGCTGGGCTTCTACAGCGTGGGCAGCTTCGGAGCCACAGCCGCTGTTAAAGCTTATGATGCTCACTGGACGACAGACCAAGCTTCTGTCTTCAACAAGATTTCTGATAACTACATCTTCATCTCTGCAGGCTGCTGTGTACACAACTCCATCATCTCCAGGCAGCTGTTGCCCACTTTGTGCTACGGAAGATGCTGCTGCTGAGGAGGGTTTGGAAGAAAAAGAAAAAACAAATATGTTTATGCTGCTATTGCTTAGAGGTATACACGTCAGTCACTCATGTTTTTAATGTTCATTTATATTTTTAATCACCATCCTTCTGCAAATCTAGAGGTATCGGTGGGACGTCATCATCACAGAGTGTTTCAGCTGAGCCAAGGCTGGCAGAGAGGGAAGCAGTTGGCTCTCGGACTTGTGGGCTCATGCCTGCAGGAGAGGTCCTGGAAAGCACGGACTCTGTGGAGGAGCGGCCACTGTCTGCAGCCAAACTGTCTGCAGAGTCAGAGGAACGCAGTGAGCAGTGGAATAAAATCTGTTTCTTAGTTTCAATATGCAAACATGCTATGATTTGAGAACTTAGGCAGATGGTGCATATATTTGTCAAAAATTAATTTTATTTAACAGAAAAATAATTACTGTCAGAGGTCAAAGCATCGGTAGCCTGGCCATCCTGAGCTAGGGTGTGTGAGGACACTGAGGGTGTTGCTGGAGTCACACCCTTCTGAGTGTACACCTTACATCGCTGTGATGGGGAAGAAGGAGGCCTGGGAAGGGAAAAATAATTACAAATTTTTTTTCTCTTCCTATATATATATA